AGAAAAGACAAGCTGGAGTGCTGATAATCATGGCAGCTCAGGAGGGTGAGGCAGCAGAATTACAAGTTCAAGCCCAGGGCCGGGGAGATGGCTCAGTGGAGTAAATGCTTCCCTGGCAAGTGCAAGGGCCTGAGTTCAATCCCTGGTCCTGCAAAAAACAAAACAAAAACAAGTTCAAACCCAGCATGAGTAATTGGGGGGTTGGGGCCCTCCGCACCACGGCCCTGACTTCACTAAAAGGAAGGAAAGAGGGAGGGAGGAAAGAATTATGAAGGGAGGAAGGGCAGACAGAGGAGAGGGGAGGAACAGGAAAGAGGGAAGGTCCCTCAGGTACTGGGGACACCGGCAGGAAAGGATCCAGTGATCCTGTACTACGAAACCAAATAACTGTCTTGCCAAAAAACTAAACCCAGGGACAGGTGGACCTGGCCCTGCCCCGTCACCTTGATCAAGTCCTTGCTCTCCAGAGGGCTTTGACTGCTCCTTAAATAAGCGTTCTCAGGCTCATTTCCAGGGACCTCAGTCCTCCCACAGCCTCACCCTGCGATGTCTCCACTTACAAAGCCATGAGGCTTTCAGCTGGCTAAGAGGAACATAAAATTCGGATGAAGTCAGAATATTTGAAACTGAGGTTGACTCAAATTCCCATGTGTAAAACTTAATTAAGTCATTAGCTGATAGGTTTAACTCAAGACACCACCGGAGAGGTCAGGGACATTAACTGCTTTCAAAGGAGTCTGCATTTTAAAAGCCCCCCAGGAGCTCCCTAACATCTCCCCTCCCCCACACCATACCTAACACAGGAAAGGTAATTTTTTTTTTTTTAACTTGTTTCTTTTGCTTAGGATTTGGGTTGGTTTGTTTTCAAGAACTTGAATAAGCAGAAAATGGGCTAACTACACCTTGTGCAAAGTCTACCAGATAGGGCTGGGGATGTGGCTCAGTGGTAGGGTGCTTGCCTACCATGCTTAAGGCCCTGAGTTCAAATCCCAAGAAAAAAAGAAAAGTACCAAAGCATTCCTGGGAAAGGAGAGTCAACTGTAACCACAGAGCAGGGAGCAAGGGAAAGCTCAGGTTTGGGGGAGGTGAACTGTGGAGGATTCTGGGAACCCACTATCCAGTTAACAAAAAGGAGCCAGAGGCCTGGCTCAGCTTTAAGTCTTCAAATCCTAGAGGCAGAAGCTAAAGAACCATCAGTGAGCCACGTAATCAGTCCTAAAAAGTGATCTTCATGCCTAATCACATCATAACCTTAGCAATTCTTATCTTAAAAACAGCATCCTCCCACTTGGGAAAATAAAAAGGAATGTAATGACTGCAACCAAGGAAAGGAAAGAAGACTGAAATCCCACAGAATTTGAACTAACTTGGAAAGCCTGTCAAAGGTAAAGACCCCTTGCTTTGGCAAAGCCAGGCCAGGGTTGGTGAAGAGAATGGCCCCCTTCATAAGACCGCCATGGCTTAACTG